TGTTGATTTCTGCATTAACTTCTGAACTAGATGACTAGGCTAATTTTCATGATTTCTGAGAGGTATTTATTCTGTACGTTATGATTCGAATAAAGCCATGACACCTTAAGTTACTATGTATCATAAATTCTTTTGATGTGCTTTATAGCTGTCAACTGCTGGGCCCCCAGGATTTAGCAGGAGCCAGAGTAGCTGCTTCTGAAGCACTCGTCTGCTTTGGATGTCTTTTGAATGATCACTTTTTGTGAACTATCCCTATGCTATTTTTTTTTTTAACGTAGGGTAGAAGAGAGCAATTTCACTAATGAGTAATAAAAAGAAACTGCTGTGTTGCAGATAGATTTCCTCTTGGTGGGAAGAGACCACACATTCGTGCATACATACATAGCATGTACCTGCACACACGTGCATACTTCTGCTGAAGGAAAAGCAGTATATCTTCTTGCAAATTCGCCCCCTTCCTTCGGTTCCCTATACCTTTGCTCCATGCAGGGAAGTCCTGCCAGAATTGACAAGGAAGCCACATTTCTATAGTTCCACAAGTCTTTTGTTGTCACAGGCTATATTATGGCCCAGGAAGGACTGGAAGCTATTAATTTCACTTAAGGAAGGCTCACATTCATTGGACTCCCTGGTGCCTGAACCCAACTCAGCCTCTAGAAGCTCACATTGCCACCAGAGGAGGAACAAAGGAAACACAGCTGGCCTGGAAGAAGTTCAGAGCACTTTCCTTGTCCTGATTTACTTATTTTGCTTGTCTCTCTCCTCACGCTAGATTGTAAGCTCACAATTGTGAGGGATTTTTGCCTGTTTTCCTCACTGCTCTATCACTGTACCAAGGACATTCTCTGGCACCTCATAAGCCCTCAATACACGTTTGTTGAACTGAGTGGATGCCCTCCATTTACCCAGCATTGCCAAAGAGGTTCCCTACCAAGCTATCACAGACCTTAAAGTGGTCCCAGATCTCTTGGGGGACTTATCTGACTGCGATCTCCTTTTTAGATAAAGGCTTCCAAGCAAAGTAGTTATAAAATATAATTTATAAAGATTTTCTTTAAACTCACATATTCTCATTTTTAGTGCCTGGGTTAAGACCACTATAGCTCTTTGGTCTGTGTCAGTTTTAAGCCTATTGGGGACATCAGTTTCAGTTAATACTATGATAAAACACACAGCTTATGGAGCTCAAGTGCTGCAGAGCAGAAACAATTCCTAAAGTGGGGGCAAAGTCCAATTTTTCTGTAATATTTTTCTACCCTACGAAGCCACGCAAAGAGGAAAGGAAGATGTTTCAGGATGGGAAAAGCTGTTTAGGAAAGAGATAACACAGCTGGCCGGAGGCTGCTATCTTTAGCAGGTCCTATTTATAAGGTTGGTCCTGGGCTGACGTCTGGGAACTGGGCACTTGACTCACTCTCTAACCGATAAAATTGGTTCACATTGCCTGGACTGTGCAAACAATGTGAATTATGTCGAACTCCTGCTTTCCTTCTTTGAGATTTGAATTATGGTTGTTGCTGGACAGAGGGTGCCTACATGACCAGCCACTAATAAAAACCATGGGTGCTAAGTCTCTTCCCAGGGCAGAAACGTTGTATACACTTTACTGAATTTTTCGCTGCTGGAGAAAGGAGCACATTGGTGTATCCCCTCCCTGGAGGGAGAGAGCATCGAAAGCCTATGTGTGGATTTCTCCACACTCTGCCTGTGTCTTTTTCTCTTATTGATCCTGTCATGTCTCTTTTCACTGTGATAAACCTTAGCCATGAGGACAACTATATGCTAAGTGCCATGAGTTCTTCTAGGGAATCTCTGAAAGTGTACGCTGTCTTGGGGACCCCAAGACATAGACAACAACCAGCACTAGGGCTCCTCAGAGCTGGCAAGTATGTGTCTGGTGGCTAAGGCAGTTTGACTCAGGGCTCTGGCTGTGAGCTGAGGAGGCAGAAATACAGAGAGGGGCTGGAATGAACCTCCCTCTGGGAGCTGAGCCTCTGTCTTAGTCTCATGGTGGGTTTTCTCGCTGGTGGTCTGGCCCGATGCATGTGGAGGATTCATTTGCCTACACATAGGGCTTATAACACTAAAAGTAGGCTGAACAGCATCCTTTGTTGCTATCCCCAAGGGAAGGGAAGGCAAGGGAAAAAGCAAGCATTTGTCACCATGCCTAGACATCAGATCAGAGCTGTCTAAGCTGCCATCTTGGGCTTTCTCAGGGTAAAGTAGCTCACAGCAGTCCTTGTTCTCTGGCCTCATGGAAGGAAGAGACAAGGGGCTCAGCTTTAACTCTCCCATTCCATCAAATGATCTCCCTAGTATGCTGGCTCAAAAATGCCCTAGCTTTTGACCCTCATAGAAAGGAATCATCTAGAAACAAATGTGGGGAGCCAATCTCTCTTGCTGTCTCTTTTCTATTTTTTTGTATGTGGTTCTGTAGGTGTGGATGGTGTTCAGGGCTGCTGGTGAGAGGACCCATAAACTCTCTCTACAGACCTGTATTCCTCCATATTTTCTCCTGCTTTTAGTTAACTCAGTGGGCATTATAACCAATGTCAAGGTCACCTTGAGTGCTGTAGTCCCCCTCACGAGACATGACCTTCCCAAACATCTGTGGTTGGTCCGAAGCATCCATCAGGGGAGTTAAAGATAAATAGGCATATTAAAAAAATTTGAGTTTATTTGAGCAAAAATTGATTCAAATTTGGCAGCATCCAATCTAACAAATAGAAAGGAGCTTCAAGGAGCTGTACAAAATGAAAGACTTTCCCAGTGAAGGGGAGCGGGAACTAGGAAGCTATACTAGGCAAAAAGGCAGGTAGGTTATTGCAAGGTTACTTCCTTTAGGGGATGGCAAGGATCTGTCAGGTAGATTACCTAACTATTGCTGACCAGGAGATTCCTGATTGACTGGTTTAAGATTCTATTTCTGGGAGGGCTGAAACTGTAATTAAGTCTTAGTCTGGTGATGTGGGGCTTAGCATAAGCAACACCATTTTGGACCTGGTTGTCTTGTTTTTAACAGGGGTTATCTGAAGATATTATTAAAGACCCTGAGTTCTTGCCCCTAGAAACTTCCAAAATGTGTAAAGAGAGGATAATAAATTTTATCTCAAGGTGACAATAGAAACCACTTCTTCTATATTCTCTTTTATCAACTGTGTTCAAACAAATTCATTGGAGTTAACATGATGTGTCCCATAGAACAGCATAATCCAGGTAATTGGAGCCAGTAATATAAAATTCTACACATTTCTAAGTACTGCTTTTGCTATATCCTACAAATTTTGGTATGTGATATTTTTGTTATTGGTAAGTTCTAAATGTTTTATAATTTTCATTATAATTTCTTCTGTGACCCAAGAGTTATTTAGAGGAATGTTTATTTCCAAACATTTCAAGCTTTTCTAATTATCTTTTTTTATATTGATTTTTAACTTAATTGCATTGTGATTAGAGAAAATGATCTGTATGATCCAGTCCTTTGAAAAGTTGTTGAGACTTGCTTTATGGCTCAGTATATAGTCCATTTTTATAAATGTTCTGTGAGATTTTTAAAAAATTGTAAGTTGTCTAGACATTGGATGCAGAGTTCTCTATATATCCATTGGATAAAATATGTTGATTGTGTTTACAACTTATATAGTCTATTTATTTTTGTTTTCCTTGAAATATCAATTATTCAGAAAGAAATGTTAAAATCCTCTCAGTACAATGTTGGATTTGTCCATTTCTCCTTGCAGTTCAATATTATTTAGATGCATATAGGATTAGAGTTACTTTAGGTAGCTAGTGATTTGAATTTTTTGGCATTGTGTAGTGACCCTCTTTATTTCTAGTAATGCTCTTTGCTTGAATTCTGTTTTGTCTGTTAACATTTATTTATTCCAGCTTTCTTTTGTTAACATTCCATCCATATTTTCCTCATCTTTTTAAAAAAATTTATTATTTATTTAATTTTTTTATTTTGAGGAAGATTAGCCCTGAGCTAACATCTGCCACAAATCCTCCTCTTTTTGCTAAGGAAGACTGGCCCTGAGCTAACATCAATGCCCTTCTTCCTCTGTTTTAAGTGGGACACCTACCACGGCATGGCCTGACAAGTGGAGTGTAGGTCTGAACCTGGGATCCAAACTGGAGAACCCAGGGCTGCCAAAGTGGAACGTGCGAACTTAACCACTGCACCACTGGGCCAGCCCCTCCCCATCTTTTTAATTTCAACTTTTCTGTACCCTTATGTGTCTTGAATGAAATATATAACTGGATTTGAAAAGATTCCTGCTGATGACACCAAAAACAGGAGCAATAAAATTTTTTTTAAAATATGGTAAAATGGACTTGATCAAAATTGAAAACTTTTGCTCTTCAAAAGAGACCATTAAAAAGATGAAAAAGCATGCTACACACTAGGAGAAAATATTTGCAAAACATATATCTGATAAAGAACTTACACCCAGAATATATAAATAACTCTTACAACCCAATAATAAGACAACCTAATTAAATTAATTGTCAAGAATGGGCAAGAATTAGTCATTCGGGAAATGCAAATTAAAACCACAATGAGATACTATTGCACACTCACTAGACTGGCTAAAATAAAAAAGAGTGACAATTCCAAGGGTTAGTGAGGATAAGGAAAAACCAGAACCTTCCTACATTGCTGGTGGATGTAACGTGATAGAGCTACTTTAGAAAACAGCTTTTTATAAAGTTAAACATGTACTTAACAAATATCCCAGCATTCCAGGAAACTCCTAGGTATCTACCCAATATATGTCCACACCGAGACATGTTATGTGAGTGTTCATAGAAGCATTGTGCGTTATAGCCCGGAACTGGGAACAAGCCAACTGTCCATTAACTACTGAATGGTGAACAAATGTGATACATCCATACAATGGAATGCTACTCAGCAATGAAAGGGAATAAAGTACTGATACATATGTGGAAAAATCTTAAAACCATTATGCTAAGTGAAAGAGCCAGACACATAAGACTGCATGTCGTATGATTCCATTTATATGAAATGTCTGGAAAAGATAAGACTATAGAGACAGAAAATGGATCACAGGTTGCTGAAGGCTGGGGTGGGAGTAAGGATTGATTACAAGCTGCATAAGGGAGTTTTTGGAGTGATAGAAATATTCCAAATCTGGATTGTGAGTTGTTTGCACAACTCTATAAATTTACTAAAACTCATTGAACTGTACATATAAAGTGGATGAATTAATAGTATGTAAATTAGATGTTAATAAAGCTATTAAACATTAAAAACAAATTTTTTTTTGATCCCTTTTTTTTTTTTGCTGGGAAAGATTCACCCTGAGCTAACATCTGTTGCCAATCTTTCCCTTTTTTCTCCCCCTCCCCAAAGCCCCAGTACATAGTTGTATATCCTTGATATAGGTTCTTCTATTCTTCTATGTGACCTGCAGCCACACCATGGCTACTGACAGAGGAGTGGTGTGGTTCTGTGCCCAGGAACCAGGCCCAGGCTGCTGAAGCAGATTGAGCAGAATTTTAACCACTAGGCCCTCAGGGCTGCCTCTAAACATTTTTAAAAATGTATTCATAGTCTTTGTCTTTTTTAACTGCAGCATTTAGTCCATTTACTCTTTTTGTAATTATAGATATATTTGGATTTTTTTCTATCATTTCATATTGTGCTTTCTGTCTGTTCTGCCTTTTCTATATTTCTTTCCCCCCTCTTTTCTTGCCTTCCTTTGGATTTTTTTTTTTCTAATTCTGTATTTCTTCCTCTATTAACCTGGAAGTAATACATTCTTCTGCTGTCTTGTAATGGCTACCCTGGAAATGTCAACATGCATACTTACAAATCAAAGTCTAGAGTTAATAGCTTTGCCCTTTTCTCAAATGACACAAGGAATTTAGAACACTAACTATGATAGTTCCCTGCTTTTATCTATTGCTAATGTTATAATTTTTAACCTCATAAGACATTGTTATTATTGTTTATCGTCAATATTTATTTAATTACCCCATATATACTTTTATTTTTGCTGTCATTCTTTATTACATCTTAGACTCTTCATCCATGATCTTTTTCTCAAAAATTTTCTTTGTAATGAAAGGTGATATATTGTAGTGGTTAACAGCATGGCTTCCAGAGCCGAACTGCTTTATTTTTTAATTTCTCCTTTACAAATAGAGAAAGTGAGGCAGAGCGACACCCAGTGACATGCCCAGGGTCACATCAAGTAAGTGATGGAGGCAGGATCTGAACCCACTACGCTGTCATATTTAAACCCAATAGCATCCCCTCCACTGAGGAGGGCTTCTAATAATCCATGGTCTAAGAAATCTGTTGGTGGCACGACAGACGAGAGCTCTTCTCTGCTGTCAGCAAATAAATATATAGGTTCAAATTTCTCTCACACGTTGAGGTTCGTGAAGTTCATAAATAACTCCTCTGAAAAGATGAACTTTACAAGCAAATTACAGGTGACTTGAATTTTAGCCTTATGAATGCTTATAAAGTCAATTTCTCTGCGTTTCTTGCATATTTATTATTTTGCTTTAAGTAATTGGAACTGTCTTGCAAAATTTAGAAGGCTCCTTCCATAAAAATCCAGTTTTACTCCTGGACTCTTTCCACCTTGCTTCATTTATTCCTGGGCAGACCAACAGCAGACTCTGGCTTTATAAAGCAAGTCATTGAATTTCCCCAAGTACAAAGTCATTAGATGTCGGTAAGCCCCAGGAGAGATTGTGCGATGGCGCTGTTAAATGCTAGATGGATTTTGACATCATCTTTGGTGGGGAAGGGCCTTTCAGAAGTGCGATTAATACAGAACAGTCTTCTAGGTCTTCCAGGCTTTCCACTCTCTCTATAAGTCTTTCAACTGTGTCACAGGACAGCATCCTGGAGGCATTGGCTCTGAACTTCTCCTGCAGGTCCTCCTGACTCAGTGGCTTCCTCCAGTGACCGTAGAAGGTATCCGCGCACTCTGTGAAGGTGGCTCCATCTTTGAGAGTGACACTTATCTCACAGTACAGTGTGTTGAAGCTTGGCAGGTTGTCCTGAGGGTGCTCCAGCTCCACCTTACCAAGCAGCTCCCTCACCTGGGGCCTGTGGATCTGGCGTTCATAGAATGATGGCACAGTGATGCCACCATCCAGCAGTGTGGTACAGGCCACATACTGGAAGGAGTGACGGGCTTCATGCTCCGAGTCTGGAAAGGGCCTATTTACATACTGGACCTCTGGAATTCTGAGCACAATTCTCTCAATGTGGTCAACAGGAAGCAGGGCTCTGTCTGTTACAAGGTGCTTTCTCACAGATACAGCTGCGTCTGCCACCCAGTGGGTGGCCAAATGTGCAGGGAAACGCTTGAAGGCCACATCCTGCTGGTCCAGCAGCCAAGTGTGGGAATCCAGGTTTGGAAGGACTTTAGGGGAATAGTTGGTGTAGAAGGCCCCAAACCCTGTCTCCAGATCCAAGACTCGCTTGTTTCCTTGGAGACCCAGCATTGCCAGAAAAACAGCCTCAAGCCCATGCCTGGCGGCATTGCCAATATGAAGAGGCTTGGTCTGAGTGGCAGCATTTGCCATGGGTGCTCCAGCATGAGACACAGCAATAGCCAGGGCCTCTTGGCACTTTGTCATGCTGAGCCCTAAAATCTTGGATGCAGCAGCAGCACTCCCCAAAGTTCCTACCACTGAGGGGGGATGGAATCTGGAAAGCAAAAAAAGCAAAGAGTTGGAGATTTACAAACCTCAGTCACCAGGAGGCAGTATAGAGTAGCGGTCAGGAGCGTAGATAATGGAGCCACACTGCCTGGGTTCAAATCTCAGCTACCACTTATTATCTGTGTGACCTGGGGAAAGTTATTTAACTTCTTTGTACCTGTTTTCTCTTACATAAAACGGTGATAATAATAGTATCTACCTCATAGGGTTTTGTGAGTTTTAAATGAGTTCATGTGCTTACAACAGTGCCTGATACAGTAAATTCTATATAAATGGTACTGTCACAATTATTGCCAGAATGCTGAAATCCCATGTAAGTAACTGTAAAAATTGAAGGCCCTGTAAAAATGTGAAAGTTCACTCAATATTCTAATTTACTCCTCTCCCAGCAGGCTGGACCAAGTGGCAAAATAAATATTAGAGTGAACCATATGATACAGCCAACATTTGACCATTTTTGATCTGTTGGTTGAACAGTCAGATGCAGGACATTCTGAATGTTCTAAGTCTGAAGGACCCTAGCAAATATCAAAGTCGATTCCGTTTTGAGATGGAGTAGGGAATGTTCAGGGTACCCATGGATGGCAGACATGAGTTACTCTGGGATGAGAGACCCCAACTTATTTCATGGTCTTGGTTGCTGGATTGGCTCTCTAAACCCAAAGGAGATTTTTCATTAGCAACTTCTGAAATCACAATTTGTGTATGGACATATGGTTTGATATGTGACAGGTACATTGACTCATCTGCCAGCACTAATGTTAACATCTTCAACTGACCTAACCTCTGTGGCAGAAGGTTCTACTGAGGCAACCACTGACAGCTGAAGGGGAACGTGATTGCCTCTCAATCGGGCAAATTCTCTCCATACCTCTTTGGTATGTCATTGGCTTCCTTGGAGAAATGCATTAATCGACCTTGTACTTCAATCCCAACATTGAAAGCCAGTAGCAGGTCAAGGCCAGAAAACTTTGGACTTGGAGGCAGGGCTTCTGATAAAGCCATGAGGACAGGAAGGACAGCTCCGGAAGGGTGGGTGGCAGGGTGCCAGGTGTCATCGAAATCCATTGAGTGAATCTATGTAAACAGAAACACAAACAACCACCAAAACCCAAAATGTATTTCCGTGAATGCAACAGCTTTTGGACCAGTAAGCGTTTAGTTTGATGTGAGACTTTTAGGTCTGATTCTCTGAAAATAAAACTTATGAACTGGCTGTAATTCCAAATTACATGGCTGGACCCTGGACATGCTGTCCTCTGCCCAGAGCAGGTGGGACTGTGGGGAGCAGCTAGTGAGCCCCAAGGAGCTTGGATCTTAGCTAGGTGGCCAGAACTCTCTGCCATGGCCCCTGGAAAAATCTAGATACCCCCAAAAACACAGCTCTGGAATTAGGTGGCTGCTCCTTTCTCACCTACCCTTCAAACGATCGCACTAAAAGTTTAATCTCATTTGTTCCATATCAGGCCATATATTTCTGTACCTTTAATTATAAAATAATTTAAAACTTATGGAGAAGTTGCAAGAACTCATGAACCTAGATTAACTATTAAGCTATATTTTAAAATCATTATTTTCTGCTATAAGGTTTTATTCCTCTTTCTCTCAGCCATTTGCTTTTCCCTTATAAGAAATAGTTAGTAATAAGTAGAAGTTCGTTTAAAAGTAGATTTTATGATTATTGGATGTGGCTGGTGCATTTCCTATTGTTTACTGGACGTTTACTCCTGGATACACTTTGGATTTGGCTTTCAATATTCTGGACCACTGTTCCCCAAACCATAAAAATATCTCAGAAATCCCAACACATTATGTCCAGGGTATATCTTGTAGACTGCTCCTGACACATAAAAAAAGCATAAAAATTGTCGGATGAGAAGTGCTGATTTTTGGTTCAGAAAGTATAGACATCATATGGCCATTGTTTCTTTCTCAATAAACATCTATTAATGAATGAGTGAATGAGTGAATGAATGAATGAATGAAGAGCTGGTTACTGGATAGAAACTGGTACTAGCCACAACAAAAGGAATTGAGTCTGGATATTGGGTTTTATATTTTTTGCTACGTACATTCAAAGTTTAAAGTTGAGATACCTTAAGGGTGTTTTTATCTAAGTCCTTCCACCTTATTTCCTCTACTTCATAATTTGTTTGAAAAGCCTCAGTTCACTGTAAAACATGCAAACTGAAATTACTACATAGAAGAGGGGGTGGGCCACTTCATTTCTCTGAACCTCAATGATCTCATCAATGAAATATGGAAATTGGCCCATTTCTGAGATATTTCCTGGCTATGAAATTATTATGATTGACATGGAAAAGACACGGAAACCTCCTTACAGCCACACCGTTGACAAAAGCAGCATATGTTGGTGGGAGCCTGAGGTCTGGCCGGCCCCAAACAGTGCTGGACATATTGGAACTGTAGATCTGGAACAAAAGAATATCAATCAGTGATACAGAGTGTGAACATGACATGCCAAGTCACCATTTCAGGAGTTCTTCTTCATATTTTGAGTCATTACATTAATAGTCCTTGTTTGAACCCTTTGTGCTAACTTGAAGCCTTGATCATTGGATTCCTCTCTTCCTTGTAGAAGAATACACTTTCTCCTTGGAAGGGAGAGGAGATGCTGTTGCGCCATCCCAGAGAGTAATCCAGAAGTGCTCCAGGAAATGGAGTCTGAATTTACTCGTATTTACTCATTGGAGTAAATTCTGAGGAAGGTGGACTATCTAGCACCAAAGCACATCCTTTGGAGGGGGAGTGTTACATCTCCTACATACACGCCCGCTCTCTGCTCGGAGTACTGGCCCAGCCTTTTCTCCAGAGATTCTCAAAGTTTTTGTATGAATGAATGGTCTGGGGTAGGTACTATTGCTTCTAAGACTCTTGGGTAAAAAGCGTTTTCAATTATAATAGTAATAAACTATGAGATATGACTAGAGTTAAGACTAGTCTTCAGACAGTGACTTAATAAGGGATACGGATAGACATTAAAACTCAGATAAATAGAGCATAGAAAAGCATAAACTATATACAGCAATGCTATATACACGAAGTACTATCTCTAGAATGAAGAGTAGAGTGATTGAAGACAAACACACAACTCTGTGTACACTCATGGGTCCACCTCACAAGCAGCCATGTGCGCACACTAGGTTTTATCTCTAAAGGAGAGATTGAGCTTCTTACTTTACTATATTCGCTGACTTTGTGAAACACTTCTGTACTGGTTCCCAGGAACCCAACGCCCAGCGTATCCAGAATCATCCTCTTGCTCCTCTGAATAACTTGATCTGTCAGGTGTCCCACGCTCAAGCCATGAATCACTTTGGCAAAGCTTTCTGTGACAGACTTTAAAGGGAAGAGTGTTAGAACAGTGCTACACCCACTTTGCATTTGCATAATTCCTTTCTATACAAGAATTTGAGGTACTTTTCTGTAAAGAGTTTACTCCACTAGAGGAAACCCGGTTGGTCAAATTAAGTTCAATTCCTAAAATTGATGAGTACTGAGCACCAACTATGTGTGAGGCAGAGGGATATGGAAATGCACAAGAGCAAGTTTCTGTCTTCAGATGAGTTGAGGACACAGACTAGCAAGCAGCTGATGACCACAGGTTGTGGTGGGCCATGGGGAAGGAAGCACAGAGAATCAGCACAGGAGGACAGGAAGGACATCTCGCCCATCAAGTGGGCACGCCTGGGCTGGGGTGCATCCAGACAGCTAGGAGCTGCCATTCTTAGTTATGTGCTGACCTTTTAAAATACAGTATCCATTTAATACCCACACATCTCCAGGTAGGTATGATGAGTCTTACTTTGCAGGTAAGAAGACTAAGACCTAGAAAGATGACGTCACTAAGTTACACAGCTATACGCAAGTCTGGACGCAAACTCCTATAAGTCTAACTCCAAAATCAGTGCATCATAGCATCTGGCTATGAAGCCCTCATTTCCTAAAATGTGGTCTGAGAACCATGTACATCAGAAACACCTGGGATTCTTGTTGAACATTTCTGGTCTCCACTCCAGACCTAGAACTAGAACCTCCAGGGAATTAGAAGCTTTGGAAGCATCGCACAGGGTTCTATGTTTTCAATAAGATCTCTAGGTGATTCTTAATTGCTCCAGTGCTGTCACGTCCAATGTGGTAGCTACTCTTCACGTGTGGCTGCTGAGCATTTGAAACGTGGCTAGTCCGAACTGAGATATATTGTAGGAGTAAAATCAACATTGGATTTTGAAGTCTAGTAGGCAAAAAAGAATATAAAGCATCTCATTATTAATTGTAAAATATTGATTACAAACTGAATGGGTAATATTTAGATATTATTAAAGTTTCATCGGTTTCTTCTTACTTTTTAAACTATGGCTACTAGAAAATTTTAAATTATACTTGAGAACCACTGCTTGCTTTCGCTGTTGGTGGAGGATACCTGGAGGCACTGATACCTGAGCTGGTTATAAAATTTCTGGGAGTCAGCTGGGTGAAGTTGCAGGGGATGAGGATGGAGGTTAGAGGCAGAGGTAGCAGCATGGGCCAAGGCTTGGGTGGTGAGGGAGGTGCAGTGAATTCAGCAAATTCCAGCTGCAGAGCTGCATGCCAGGGGCAGAGGTGAGAGGGAGAATGAATTGCAGGCTAGGACAGAGTGGTGAAAGTTACATTATGCTAAAGACTGTGACATCAGCAGGGAGCCATAATGCTGTCTTAAGAAACAGAGAGAGATGATTGGAACTGTGTTTTCCATAGATCTCTGAGGGCACTTGTACAGAGAAGGGATCAGAGTTGGGTAGATAAGGGCAGGTAAGAGACTGATACTGTAGCCCTGGCTCTGGATGGGGAAATGGCAGTGCCATTTGCCAAGAAAGGGAACATAGGAAGAGGAGCAGACTTTTGGGCAACGACGATGGGCTCATTGTGAACTTGTTGCATATGAAGTGCCTGTGGTCACCCTGTGGAAACCATTCCACTTCCATGGAGAAGCACTGCTTCACAGCAGGGGAGAAGCTCATTCTCTTTCTTCCCACAGACCAGATAAAACAGCCTGCAGGATTATTTGCATTTCATAAACAGCAGAGTACTTTGCAGTTCCTTTAAATATCAAGTTCTTCAATGCATAGGCAATTATTTTGTTTTCTATACGTCTTCAAAAGAGAATGTCTATTATGTGTGGTTAAAAACATCCACTCTTAAGTCATATTTCGCTATATGCCAAACACTTAGTACCACTTAGTAAATGCCGGGTCACTTCTTTTCTCTCCTCTGATTATTGCATCATTGTACAACTTCCTGCATCTCTGAGCATCAGATACATCAAGTGAAATGTTAGCTGTAGGGTGACGAGTTGTCTTGTGAAAGGAGGTGGGGTGTTTGGGGCTCTCTGACACTAAGCTCAGCGCTGGGGCAGAGGTGCAGAGATGGAAGCAGTGCTCCACTGAAGGTCCTTCAACCTGGCCACTGACTAGTCCCATATTTTCAGTCTCCAGATTATTAAGTTCCGGGAAATACTGCCATTTTCAAAAGAATACCCTGCTTTTTATGTCTCTGAAGCTTTGGTAGAAAGGCAAGGGAGTCTGGAGTGGGAGAAAGCAGAAGCTAAGCTGGTTGGAGAGAGAAAGGGTACTGGCACAAAACTTTCTGATTAGGATGGAGAATAACAATAGTTTTGATTGTCATGCTGCTAGAAGTTTAGGTAAACATATTTAGCGGCAGAGGGAGGGAAGGAGAGAAAGCACTGGCTTGGTGATCTGCCAATTAAACTTAAAATTTCAAGTACTGGTTGGATCCCCTGTTCCAAACAAAACTGCCTCTTTTCAACCTCTCTTCCCACCCCTCACAATTCCCAGAGTTGAGGGCATTTAATGATTGATTGCTCATCTCTTTAGGATTAGATCTGACCTGGGACTGCCTGGTGGGGGAGCATGTATGCCTAGGGAGCATGTGTTAGTTCGGCACCAACATGGAACCTGGAACCTGATTGTGGTGTCCATCCACACAATCCCATAGGGTTAGGGACTCATGAAAGCAGAACCCTACGGGCATCCCCTGACAAGTCCTGCACACCGCTCCATGTCCCGAAGAACAAATGGCCTCTTTCTGGCCCCTGAGAAAGGGTACATGAGGAAGTAAACAAGCGGCTGCTCAGGTGTCTGTGCCCTTATACCCATCCATTTCTAAAACATCTTTTTGGTCCTCTTGACTTTCTCTTGGCATTTACATCTCTTTTTAGTAAAATACTGTGATTAATGTATAAATTAAGGCAAAATATGCTGTCATTTAATAAATATTTCACAAGTTCTTGCTGTGTCTGGCACTATGCTAAGCTCTCTAGAATACCAAACCAAGATGTTATGCTTCCTGCTGCAAAAAGCTTATCTTCTCCATGGGATAATTAGAAACGCAACTTGGGGGGCTGGTCCAGTGGCACAGTGGTTAAGTTCGCACACTCCATTTTGGTGGCCCAGGGTTCACTGGTTTGGGTCCCAGGCACGGACCTACGCATAGCTTATCAAGCCACGCTGTGGCAGGCGTCCCACACATAAACTACAGGAAGATGGGCACGGATGTTAGCTCAGGGCTAATCTTCCTCAAGAAAAAAAAAAGAAAGAAATGCAACCTGGCAATGCCATAATGGACATATACAAAACTAGGAGGTTAAAATTCAATGAACTTATAATGATTCATTTTCCTCCTAGTGTTATAGAATAGAATCATGCCTATTACTGTTAAAACACCAATTAAAAAAACCCAGGATGCAGTTAGAGAGCCCAGAGGCTATGAGAAACGTTAAAATGCCGTTTTTGAAGTAGAAGCAGGTACTAGAAGGAGAGGGCAACTGAGAAAATTGAGAAAGCGAGAGACAAGGTAGAAAACTAATTTAAATAAGCCACATAAGATGTAACAATACCTTGAGTGCCATGTTCTAAAGAGAGGTTGTCTCACGAGTGAGTCCAAGGAGTAATGCGTGTGCTGGGTGGCTGCTTTTGTACCCTCTGCTCCTCTTGAGCCCATTCTCTTTCACTTTGGTCTAATTCTAAAACTTTCCACCATTTCAACATCTGCCAGCTAAACTTACTTCCACTTCCTCTGTAACAAGTTAACTCATCTGCAGATAAAGAATTAGATATGACCAGGAAGTACAGCAACAATAATCAAGTGTTTTCTCCCAGGCCTCAGAAAAGTACATTGATGGCAAAACTAAGATCGCATCTTGTGCCTAGATACCGTGTGTCAAACTTAGAAAAATAGTAACACTCTTTTATCTAGGTATCACACTTCCAAAAATGTATGCTAAGGAAATAAGCATAGGTGTGTGGAAAAATTTAGCCAAAAAAGAAAATAAAATTCATGGTCTTGCTTATAAGATTAAACATTGGAGACAATCAAATGCCCCCCAGTAGGGGATTGGTTAAGTAAAACATGGCATGGACAGTATTTAAGGCACACTCTCATTTTCCCCTTCTACCTCACCCCTGCTGTTCACCATTGTCTAGGGACAAATGTGCCATCCAGAATTTTCTGGTAGGTTGAGATTATTCTGAACCTGTTGTTCCAGATGTTGTGGCAGAAAATGTCTTGGGGGAAGATTGCATTTCAGTTTTGGAGGGAATCTCCATGAGCCTATGGTTCTTCTCCAATCCTATTACAGAAGGCTTTGTGACAAAGAGGAACTAAATTGCCCTGCATGAAAGTGCAAAAGGCTATCTTTTGTGTGAGCAGGTGATGTCTCTGGGAGAAGGAGTTGAGTGGTTTGGCTTCTCTTGGTTGAAGCCTGTGGAGAAAGAGTGCTGAGAGTCTGGACACAGGGCCAAGGGCAGGATTAGTGGGAACCTTCATGGATTGTTGGGGGTGATACCCTGGTTATAAGCCAGAACTACATGGGGTGGTGAGGGTGGGGGGAGGTGGTCAGCAGGGAACCCCATGGGGAAGGACACACTTAAAGGAGCAGCAAGATCGGGTATCTAATTTGAAGTGTTCTTTACAACACCCTAATTCCCTTCTGTCATCCTCCGAAAAGTTTGCTACATATCACAACCTAGCGTCAGCCATGCTTTGGGGAATGAAGGTGCTATCGAACCAAAATGAGTTTGCTCCCTGGTGAGTTAAAATCAAACTCTCTGCCAGAAGTAGTTATCACACAAAGTAAAGTATATTTGCAGTAAATAGGAGACCACATGGAATCATTTCCTAAGTCGTGGTGGTCCCCAAACAGAGGGAGGCAGGTCCTTTTATTTCTTCAGGTTGGGAATGAATATCTAAAAGGGAAGTTTTGTCATCACATATATAGTTGGGTATTAGCTGGCATAGGAACAGTCTGAAAACATGCTCTCGTGTGTTATGTTATTAGCATCGTGTGTTACGCTAATAAGGCCTAGACTCCTCCTACGGCAGAGACTATAGTATTAAGGTGAGGAAAAGGGCATTTTCTGGTCATCTTCAGGTCGTCTGCTCAGGCACTGCCCTTGCAGTGGGGCTCGATCTGGTTCAGGCCGGTTGATACTGGTATCTCTTCCTAACATCGCTCTGAAAAACAACCTTGAGGGAGTGTTAAGAACCTTTAAACTTCCTTCGAGCTGCTTAGGGAATGCACTGGTGACAAAGGCAGGGGTGGTTGTTTGTGAATAGAGAGCTAGAGAGAGAAGCTCAAGGTACCAATCGGAGGGAGAAGTGACCAGCAGCAACCTGGGGAAGGTAGGTAGTCTCTGGTTATCCTCCATAGATAAGGAAGAGGCAAAGGAAGTGGGTGTGATTATATCTACTGGATGGTATAGGGAAGAGGGACTCGGAAGGATGAGGACTTGGGATGTTTGGATTCTACTCTTAAGCCAACTGCTGCCTAAAGTGGGCTTCCCAGCCATGGTCGAGATCGGGGAAACGCAGAGCTGGGTTCAGCACTGGCACACATGGTGGTTGTGTGCGTCGGGGTCCATTTCAGATGGTCTTTATTTTGCCTTAGTGGACTCCAAAGCCAGCTTCCAGTGGAAGGGTGGATTTCTGTATCCAAAGAATAAGATGGGTGTTTGGGGATAGGGGGCAAGATGGGTATTTTGGGGCCATTTGGATAGACTCCAGCAAATAAGAACACTCTCATTATAGGATTTTGTGATTTATTGGTGGTTAGTCTACATAAATTAGTGTTAAGAGTAATCTTATCAAGTTGAAAGGAAATAGACGTCTAGTTTGACAAACACTTAAAATAGAGCTATCCTAAGCATTATCCCAATTGGGAGTTCTGGAGTTTTCAACTTAAATGTCTATAGTTGGACATTTAGAGACTCTGAAGACCACTTTTACATGAAAGTGAAGAAGGGGCTCTCATGAGCCCAACCAGCTCACCGAGCAAAACTTTATAAAGGGATGATGAGCTTTATCAAGGCTGATGAGCTTTAACAGCAGCTCCCTCATTTAGCTTCTCTGGGCCTCAGGTTTTGCCACTATTAAATTCAGAAGAAAAGTTCAATTATTTGCTCATTTAATTACTTTGCGCTTTTACGGAGCTGTGACCAATTTAAAGACCAAGGCCCTCTGTAATTAGAGTCACTTCCTAACTATCCAGGGGCTTGAATGATAAGTTGGATATTGAATGTCACCTCTCCAGTCAAAAACAGTTGCTCACTTCCTGTGGCCTTTTGCACCTAGCCCTAAGTAGAAGCCAGAGCAATTGTTTTGAAATGCAAATCTTCTCTTCCATCAATCTCTGTGGGGAAGCCATGTGGTGAGCAGCCCTATGCCTCCTGCTAATAGCCAGTTGGATGCTCATCTTTCCATAGCAAGTCTTCAGCCGCTGCAAGCCCAGGCCCATAGCTTGACTTGCAACCTTGTGAGAGACCCTAAGCCAGAGCCACCCGGCGGAACTGCTCCAGGATTCCTGACTCTCAGAAACTGTTGGGATAATAAAGGTTTATTGTTTTAAGTGGAAAAGTCTTGAGGGTAATTTGTTACCTCAATAGTAATAGATAATTAATTAATAAAAATTAATTAATAAAAAATAATTAATACAAACTCCAAGCTGTTAATGTGACTTATATGAGTGTTTAGGACTTAATCATCTCATCATTCTCATATTGGGATTAACATCTCCCCCAACGTAAGGGGCCCAGTTCTTTATCGTCTTAGGGAAATTTGTACCAGTGATTTCTTCTCACTTTTCATGTCTTCCCCTCTTCTCTCCTTACCCCATAACTTTCCTCTTCTCATCTTCCATCTAAGTCAGTGTTTCTCAGCCAGGAATAAGTTTGTCCCTCAATGGACATTTGGCAATGTGTGGAGACACTCACCATATTGCGGCATCTAGTGGGTAGAGCCCAGGGATGCTGCTAAGCATCTACCCTGTTTATCACTCTGTCCCAGGGTCTCACAAAGGACTCCACAAGTAGTAGCCGCTCAGTAAGTTTTTGTTGAATGAATTAATGCAAGCCTGATGATTTCAATAAGTCAATCATACTAACACATGAATGACATTTCACCCCTCTTCATCCCAAATGGAAATGTGTCGGGAAGGTACTGTTTTAATGGCTGTGGCTTTTATTCAAGGAGGAATGCTGGTGTGACAGCAAGTAGTGTGCAATGAGCAGATTTTTCTCTTGGCAACAGCAGTTTTAGGTGTAAGGGATTGCTCGTGAATGTGAGCTATGAGAGGAAATCAGAAGTTTTTGAAACAGCAAAGCAGGAAGATTGGGGTGTTTGATTTTGTTTCCCTTTTCCTGCCCTGCCCTTCCTGTGCTGCTATTAAGTAACACCTGAGGAGTTAAGTTTCACTTTCTTGGAAGCCTGTTTTATGAGAGAGCTCGGCAGCAACTGGGGTTTCTTTTCCTGATTAACTCTTTGTGAACTCTTTTGGGATTTTGAAACATGCTTACCATGAGAATGTCTTTGTAGAAGAGGAAACTTTGGGGGCAAAGTATGTTTAATTTCCTTAAAACAACAGTAACCACAGCAATAACACATTCAAAATCTTCTCTACTACTTAGGCTGTTATCTATCAGCCATTGTTCTGGCTCCATTTTCCTTAGCCCCTGGGCAATAAGACAAAATTAATTTTTAACAGGGAAGATGTTAACTTCAGTAAGACATTAAAAGAGAACATTTTAAAACAGATATTTAAGAGAATGCCTCACAGTTAACGGTCAATGTTTATTTTGTATGTTCTGTGTGTGTGTGTGTGTGTGTGTGTGTGTGAACTTTTCTTTACTAACTTATTAAACTTTAAATGAAACTTTGTAAGTGCACAGGAAAGGATTAGGTTCCAGAGATTACGAATGAATATGCGGCCATAGAATCATTGCTAAATACAGTTGATTCAACATATTTTATTGTGAAGAAATCTTTCCATTTGTGGAAGCTCAGGTGGTTATAATTTATCCTCTAAATCACACTACCTCAAAGAAAAGTATTTTTTTGTAGTTCTCATAAACATAAAACAGCCTGTTAGTGTTTTTAAGTTAACTAGCAAATACTGAGCGATAATCCATGGGCTATATTGCCCTACACCAGATGTTTGCTAAAAGCAGAATAAAATGAATGAATGCCTTATTTGAATAAGTCTGGCAAGTATATAAAAAATATTCCTTGCAGAAATTGTGTATGCACATTTAGCAGACAGATTCTACGTAGTTCTTGTTCTTTTGAAGCTATATTTAAATATAGAATTGTCATGGACCTCAAAAGAAATGTAGTGAAGCACTTTAGAAGCAAAGTTCTAGTTACTGTCTTCTGGTATCCCATTTCACACCAGAAGCTCTTTTTCGGATGACGAAATCTTTATTTGGCTCAGGGAAATTCTCTTTTATTATTTTCTTGATTCAGTTTCCTATCTATTCTCTTTTATCTTGCATTTATCCTCTTTGTTTCTACTTGATTCTTATAATTTCCATATTTTTACATGTCTGTTCAATGCTCTGATAGGATTGCATGACCCGGTCTTCCAATCACTAATTCAGTCTTCAGTTGTACACATTCTGCTAGTCAGCTTTTTTAGCGAGTTTCTTATTTTGGCAAGAATGTTTTCATTTTATAAGAACTCTTTCTTGTTCTCTAATTAGCATTTTATATAGCA